TAAGTTTGATCCTTTACAGGCCTAAATATTTCAGATAGATGCGGTTAGTATAGTTTGTCTCCTGTGTCGAGTAAAGCAAACAAGTTTCTCAAAGAATGAATACCTAAAAGGAGTTTTACGACTACAATTGAAGACATTCGATTTTAATCATTTTTCGAGAAACACCAAAACTTTTATTTGCTTTACTCGGCACAAGAGACAAATTACTAACCGCATATCTGTCTGAAACTTTTTCGATAGGCCTTTGAAGGACCAAACTTAAGAGAAATTATAGCTATTTGAGACCCCCAATGCCATCACTATGTCTAGCCGAAAACTTTTCACTCCACTCTCGTATATTTGTTAACAAAAAGACAAACACATTAGTTTAAGTAACGAAGTTACCTCGTCTAACGATTTAGAAGAATGTATTGAGGAATAGCTTGTGAGAAAATTAAATTATCCACGCACCAATTAGTATTGCGTTAATGATTCTAATTGCCTACCCAAATAACGAATCGTTTTTGAAACTAAGAGTCTTATATATTACATATTAATTAATGTAATCAATTCTTATGAATAAATATGATTTTAATTTAATCTAAATTTGCTCGTTTAATTGATCTGATTTGCTATTCTTATTTTTTCTTTTTATCAAGAATAATTTTGATCAAGAAATTGCATACACGTCATTGTAGTTTTCAAAATAAAATTCCGGAATAAAAATAACAAGTATTATATGTACATGAAATAAAATTCAGCTAAATGTTTTTCCCACTCAAGAAATAATTTGAAGTAAGTTTGAAAATACTTTATAACGTTCTACACAAAAAAGATTGCACACTTTTAAAAGTCAATAAAATGTTTTACATGTTATGCAATATGATGTTTTAAAACATATACACATTATATATAAATATATAATATATATATATTTATATTACGACTTAATATCATTAATATAATTTGCGTTTAATAATTGTTAATTATATATGTATTTACATAGAATTTATTTAAAATTTATATTACGACTTAATATCAATTTGCGCTTAATAATTGTTAATTATATATATAATTATATACATATGTAATTAACAATTATTAAGCGCAAATTGATATTAAGTCGTAATATAAATTTTGAATAAATTCTATGTAAATACATATATAATTAACAATTCTATACATATATAATTAACAATTATTAAGCGCTAATTGATATTAAGTTGTAATATAAATTTTAAATAAATTCTATGTAAATTTGCAATACAATTTTTGATTAATTCACTGCAAATTTTATTTAAATTTATATTTATTTTGTGGTTAAAAGTAATAATTTCTTTCTCCGAATTATTGACTCAATTATTTATATTACCCGATGTTATATCATGCCGAATCTCTTATCTTTTTGGTTATTCTTAGAACTAATTTTTTGAACATAAGCATATTATTTTATTTAATGCTTGTGTTATAAAAGAGAATAAAAGATTAACTTCTAAATTAAAAAATTAATACAATATTTTTATATGTAAAATATATCAAGAAATTAAACAATATTTATATATATGCATATGATATATACATACATAAATATATTAACAATATTTTATAAAAAATATATATTTATATTGTATATAAAAATATTGATTAATTTTTTAATATATTTTATATGTAAAAATATAGGGCATTCTTTATCAAGCAGACCATCCTATCTGCCCAAATTTTTACTTGGCCAAAAAAATTTTTTTGGTTTGAAATTTTAGGTATGTGTCCCCATTAATTAGCAGTTTGACCTTTTTAAAAACTCAAATTGGCGAAATTTATATGATGAAATAAAAATAAACGAGAAAGTAAGAAATGAATACATTTTTTAACTAATTAAATTTTTACTTTTTCTATAATTTTTTTATTTTGTGTGCCAATCCGTGTATCCATTAAGTTTTCAACTTGGAAACTTTTCTTTCTTTAGCGTGCGAGTATAGTTTTATTAAGTTTTTGTTCGGTAAACTATGGAACCTCAAAAAACAATTCGCTACAGCAAGACGAGTCTCCAATACAGTTTTATATAGATTTTCTCAAATAAAAACATCCTCGCATATTAAAGAAGCAAAAGTTCAAAATTGCTTTGTTGAGATATACGTATGCGTTCGATACGGTATATTCGTTCTCTTGAGACACACCGTTCGAATTGACTATGCCAACGATGAGTTTTTGTTCTTGTTGATTAACGACCGGTTTCGACCTGATGTAATTCAATTCCTTGTATATTTAAAAGCTGAGTTAATATTAAAATCAAGATTCACAAATAAAGTTTAATTCTACGAATTAAATCTCAATCGCATACATGACTTAACATGCTTGATAACTTAATGAATATTTTAGAATACAAAATAAAAAAATTAGAGAAAGTAGGAGATTTTAAATTTTCGATAATTAAATATGATTTATATTAAGGGGGTATTCTAGTGTGACCGGTCAAATAAATCGATTTTTTTGCATATTCTTATAGTTTAGAATCTTAAAAATGTGTCTCTAAAATATTAAGATGAAATTCGTCAAATTGACCGAGTTATAGAGATTTAAAGACGTAGCCCCCG